ATTCGTGCTTTTACGCAGTTAGAATTTGTAATTTTGTTTCTGAAAACTTATAAGGTATATCTCCCGCTGTCCTAGCGTGCTTTCGTGGTGTAGTGGTTCTGCACGCTGCGCTGGTATTCCAGAGGTCCGTGGTTCGATTCCCGGCAAAGGAGGTTGCTAATGTTTCATCTCTTCTGTTTCCAATTAACCTAATGTCTCTATAGTAGCCCCCGAACTAAAAGGGCTGTGGATGATGACTCTCCACACCCAGGTTTTGGCGATTGGGTCCCCTAAAAACCGCAGTCGCCCTTTAAAAGGAGGAGTATATAAGGTATTTCTCCCGCCTTCATAACGTGCCTTCGTGGTGTAGTGGTTCTGCACGCTGGGCCGGTATTCCAGAGGTCCGTGGTTCGATTCCCGGCGAAGGTGTTGCATATTTTTCATCTTTCCTGCTTCCAAAAAATCCTAATGTCTCTACAAACTTATTTATATTTTTAAAATTAAAAATGACAATAATGCAAAAAATAATTTAACATAGCAAATCCAATAAACATTTTCCCCAAAACTTGTGTTCATATTCTTTATCTAATTGATATCTCTAAGTTATTCAGTGTAACTATTTGTATTAATGATTATGTTGTGTACTGTGTACTGTAGAGAAAAATGTAAAGTGGTCGACGAAGGAATCCATTCCTTTAAAAAGGTTGGATGCAGAAGAAAGTTTGCGAATCACTATATTAGACCTATTCTTTACTAGCAAAGAGAGACCAACATCTCAAATGTCCATTAATTTCCTGAGACTCACACCGAGCATAATCTGCCAATCATCATACCGACCTGGGTGACTATTCAATTTAGCTTATATTAATACAAAAATCTGTCATAATTTAGTAGTTTATACTTTAAATGCAGTTACAACAGATGAAACGTGATTACAATTACAACACGAAGACATGCGGTAAGAAAGGAAAAAAGTCCTTTACATCTTCAACTTAAGCGTAATCCAGTAGGAGTAAACGTTGCCATGTAAATTCCTATAATTTCACGTATATCATTGATGTGGTAAAGTAAAACGTAACACGTAACATATATATAACTGAATTTTATTGGATCAATCACATATAACTTTCAGAATTTTGCTTAAATTAATTAAATTGCCAAGCTTCGTGTTTGGTCTCATTTTTTATTAGGGTGTATCAATATTCTTCCTCGAGTGTCCTTTATCAAAATTGGAACTGATTTTAGAAAAACAGCCTTCATGTTCTATGCTACAGTTGAATAATCCAGTCTAATCCCTTCTCTCCCCCAAAAGACTTAAAACGATTTTAAGCAAGGATAATTTTGCACCTTTTTTATCGCTATTCACAGATAACTTCCACTACACAGTCTCATCTTTATGCAGATTGACTTTTCGATCCTTTGCAATGACGAATTTCGTTGCATGGCCTCTTCTTATCTATCTCATTAAGAACTATGATCTTAAAAGTTTAAGGTTCTTTATTATTTCAGGTAGCATTAAAGTAATTAGAATTATGTGGAATAACGTTAAACAACTTTGAAATAGATTTTGATGAAACTTTTTCATATGTTCATAGACGAGTATGAATGTTTTGAGGATCCAGTGGAGAAGATTAGTGATATTGCATGGCAACTAACAACCATGCTCGAGAATATCATCGAGGCCTTGAATTCTTGAATTCTAAAGGATGTTTATTCATAAATAATAATTTCAGGGCCTTGGTTTTTTTAAGAAAATTCCTTAAAAAACTCGAAAATTCGTAAAAAAAAAAAAAAAAAACTATGCCCTTTTATCAGAATAATTATGAACTATAGTTTCTTGATAAGCGAAGCATATAAGCTAACTGTACATTGTTGGGACTTCCGCTTGAAGTTGGCCAATAACAGCCTAGAGAAACATCACTATTAATTCCACCCACAATGGTGATGTCGTACTTCTGGAAGTTTGTATTCTATTGTTCTTAGGTTATGAAGTATGACTGCAAAATATGCTACAAACTACCTGGTGCAAAATGTTTCTCTTGCCAGATGATCACATGCACAACAAATAAACTCATAAAAAGTATACCAATTTATTCGAAGAATTTCTTGGCGATCAAAATAATTTTGGCAATATTTGAATAAACAAACTTCAAACCATATGACATCATATATGTGGGTGGAGTTAATGGGATTTGCTTATTTGAGCTGCAATTGGCTAAAATCAAGCGATTGTCCGAACAATATACAGTTTACTTATATGTATACACGAATATTTCGATTCTTTAAAATCCAATAGCAGAAGAATATAGAACGATATAGAAATGAAATCTAAAATTACGGTGTTTAAGCTCGCAAATCTTTTATGGGATTAATTTTGGCTGAGATTCATGGAATAAAGTAACATGAAACATGATTAATAACAGCTTTAAAAGAAGGACGAATTTCATTACAAGTTACAGTCGAATGAAGAACAGAAGTTTAATATTTAAATGTTGTATTAAGGTAATTGATCAGTCATCATTTATCCCTTAACTTTGAAGGTCTAAAAGAAAGTATGCATACTTAATTTTACCTCAAAATGAAATATTTGTAACCTTTTATCATCTCGCTTTCCAAATCTCAGTTAAAATGTATCAAACTCGTGTATGAAAGGCTTCTTATAAACAAGCTGTTTCTTTTTCCTGCAAAACTGCTTCAAAAATCCAGTGTCGACTATTATACCAGGCCATCACGTATTCGAAGTTTTATGGCCCATTCAACGTACTTAGGAAGTTTCTCTGTTATTTTTTCGCGATCATTTAATAATTTCTTCAATAAAGTAATATTATTTGCACCGTTAATTGGTTTAAATTATTTCTAAATAGGAATTTTGATCTGATTATTAAATAACCAAATTTTACTTTAACCATAACGATTAGATCCAGATAAAATTGTCTCAGAGTTTTTCCGATTGTTACCGATTGATACCAGGTATTTTAATCTTATTACAAATGAATAGTTGCTAAGATACGTGAGTGTTTATGTAAATACGTAGAATCATTAATTATCTCTTTGTGTTAAAATGAATCCTTGCATTGTTTAAAAATAGATTAAATTAGATTACAGACTTCTGATATAACAATTTGAAAGACAAGGTCAACACATCAATCTGACCTTGCATTTCAAAGTGCAAATTAAAAGTTTTTGTATCTTCGAAAATGAAAAATGGTATCTACGTTATACAGAGGATATGAAATTCGAAAATGCGTTTTGGATAGTAGCTTAACTTTCAAGGCAGCTGAGTTTGGTTTCTGGCATGTAGATAGGAACTTAATAATAATAAACGTACTTTTAGTGTCGTGTTGGCTTAATAAATTATCTTAGTATCTCCCTTGATGTAAACTGTCTTAGTAAAAGCCTATTTGTAAAATTGTTTAAGAATCAAAAACCACCCTTAAATTTTGTATAAGATTTTTTTCTTACATTTTTGCTATAATCTTCTGAAGATTATTTTATATTCTCTCTGTATGGGACTTCCAAACTTGGATTCATTCTCATAAACCTTGAAATAAACAGAACAACACAATTGGCCTTTCCTTCCCATTTGCGATATTCCGAGGATGACCAAAAAAAAAAGAAGATGGGATGGCTCAGAGAATTTTACGATGTTTTTTTATTTCTTCCCTTAAAATTTTCCTCTTATTAAACTAGTTTTGTTATTAGTAATTTAGCCAATAAAGTAAAATGCACCATTATTTACTCAGTTCTGATTTCAATAGAACCATACGATAATTTGCTAAGTTTTTAAAGCAGTAAATTTGAATTTGAATGTTCAACTTCTTTCTCCAGCGATATTAAAAAGTTCATTCAAATTACATATCTAGCTGCTATAGCTTCCGATGAACTGAAAATTTAATTATTGAACTTCACAGAAACACACATTATAAATTCTCATTATTGAAAATTTTAAAATCGGCATGATATCGTATATTTTCTTCCACGAAAGATAAGATTTACAACAAAAAGCCTAATGAAAATTATCTGATTAAATAATAAAATTAGTTTAGTGTTGCATTCTGACTTTAAATACCTATTTATTATTAGTATAGAGATATATAGTGATTGTAATTGTATACAAATGTCCTTTGTAAACATCGAAAACAAAAAAAGTATAAAAGGTTTAGTTTTCATAGTTTGCTTAGCTTTGAACAAGTACTGTAGCTTGATTATGTCTTAAAACTAAACTTTCTCTAACATGACTTGATTAACCATTTTTAAAATTCTTTTATAGCATAAAATTATTGGTGTGAAATTGAGGATGTTAAGTTAATAGAGATACATTTAAGACGTATGTCTATTTATGGAAAGGTTTTAAAATTACAGCAATAAATAGCAATACAATTAACATTAATTTTTAAAAATTGGCTTAGGATTTGTTCACAAGGAATTGGTTTGCAAATATATGAAAAAAAGAAGGTGGGATGGGGAAGGAAGCATATATAAAAATATTAAATTTCTAAGAAAATTCTCGTCATTTTCTACAATCAAACGAATTAACGAAAATTTAAGTGAAACAGGAAATGCTATTTCAGATGATTGGTAAAACTGGAAACTTTCATCAGCGAAGCCTTCATCTGTTTCAAGGAATTTGACGGAAAACTTCTTTTTTACGCGAGCAAATACAGAAGCTGTTTACATACTTTTAGAACTATTTCAGACGTTTAATTAATTTTTAAAATGTAAAGATAATTTTTTAAATGTTCGATCTGAGAGCCTCTTTTCTCGATTTAAGCCTGCATCGTAATTTCCGTGACAGAAGGGTTTTTCGAGAAATTTCCAGGGTTATTGATTTCCATTCCTCTTCCATTGCTTTCCAGAGTCTATCAATCATGGTGGGTTTGCGTTTAGAAAGAGCTGTTTACAAGAGATAAAAATCACAATAACTCATAGGTGAGACGACAGGGGACTTCACAGGAATACCTTGAAAATGTATATATGCAATACCTGAATCAGATTTCATTTTTTCAGGGAATGGAGTGATACATTCCAAAGTATGACTGATGCTTTGTCTGTCCAGCTGCTTTGTCTTGATGAAGTTTCACGCTTTAGAGGTCACTGGAGTAAAGGAATGGAATTTATTTTGCAATCACTAGAATAAAGAAATGGAATTTCTTTTGCAAATATCCGAGGTAAAACTTTCTCTAGATTGTACATCATGTTGATTTTAACACTTTGTTTCCACTCCTCTTATTTTTAATTTTCCACTATAAGAGAATTCTGCCATAATCATAAACCTCTTACTGAAAATTTCTTTGCGTTGATGTAACAGGTTTGTACATTTTCTCTCCACATTTTAGACAACGAAGAGACTTTCTGTTGCAGTTATTTATGTAAACCTATGCTTTATCAAGGATCACAATATATTTCCACTTATCTCCTGCTAAAGACTTTTCATACAGTTTTCTAGAAATTCTTCTGTATTTAGCCCTATGTGTCGGCAAATGCTGGTAAAGCATATGTTTTTTAGCTTTCTTAATTTATAAATATTGGTTTATTATTTTACTTCTTTTTGATATAGAAGTAAAGACTTTGCAATTGATTTCTGCGTCGACGGAGTTTTCTCTTGTTACCAACAATTTAACTTTAGAAACAATAGAAACAGTACCTAGCATTTTAGGTTTCCATATTTTTAGAGTTTTTTTTCCATATAGAAGTAGTGATTGACTATGTTTCTGTTTCCAATTAATAATGTTGCTTATTTTGCACTTAAAAATTTTAATATCAGGCATTTCACATTTCTGAATTATGGAATAAGAATATTTCGCTTCGCAAAGGGCAGAAACATGTCTGTCAATCCACAGCATATTTGCATACGCCTTGTTTAAAGAAGAATAAATTTAAAAGTGGCAGACGATATTTCTCATTGCAAATAATAAGCTATTGCCAAAAATAGCTATATACTTATAAAACAATAGAATACGATTACATGTACCCTTCATGTTTGAAACTCAATAGAACTAATTTTCAACAAGGACATATTAATTACCTAGATTTGCAAATCATCAATTTTAAAGATATTCAAATTTACGACAAAATGAAAAGATTTTGATTTCCTTATTATAAAATTCATCCGTTGGCACTCCAATATCTCCAGAAGAATAGTACTTAATACCATACCTACTTAACTCCTTAGAATCAAGATATTTGCAACAATGTCGAACACTTACAAGAAGAAATCACTAAATTAGTCAGAATTCCCTTAGAGAATAAAACACCTTCTATTCAAAATTTCTATTACTCTAAAGAAAGCTGGTATTAACTACTTTTTTTAAAATTTCTCATCTAAAGTGATATGATAATTGTTACTTTAACCTTAATCAGAGGTAATAGTTGGATGACTACGATAAGAAATTTAATGTAAATATGTACAAAGATCTTTTTTCTCTTCCCTTTCAATTATTTATCCTATCTTTCTACTATTTAGTAAATTTAATAACTGACAAATCTTCTAGCTTTTATTAAAAAAATGGGGCTTTAAGTTTCAAAGCCGTATTGTATCCAGATTATGTGAAGACTTTTATCTTTTAATAATATATATTTTTCCTTTTCCTCAACTTGAGCCAGTACTGCTTTTGCGTTTTAAGATTTTACAGAAGACAGATTCTTTTAGAAGTTTCTTACGCCACCATTTTGAAGTCGACGTGATCCCTCCTCGCAGATAATAATTTTTAGAGACCGCATCAAACGTTTGGCACCCCCCGCACAAAGTTTAACGGGATAGGACATTTTGAACACATGTTTAAATACTTAGTTCTGCTACTGAACACTTTGAACCTTATCACATACTTTTTTTTGCTTCTCCAGAGCAGCTTGAAACATAATTGAACATAATACAAGGAACATAATTTGGTCGTCTGAAAAATTAAGTCAATTTTTCTTTAAAAAGTCGTCCTCAGATTTCAGCAAGTTTGCGTTTTTTTCAATTTATATTTCTAATAGGTTTTCAGTTTTTAGCTGATTAAGCCTCAGATTTGATTTTATTATTTAAAGAAATCTCTTTGAAAAGTTTTTCGATTTATTGGTATTAAAAGTTTAGCATAATCGGGGACCACCCATTTTTAGTGTTTTTTAAATGACAATTTGATTTTATATTCATATTGCTCTTTATTTGTATTTGCTTTTGAATTTCAGATTTACATATAATGATTTTAGAGCAATCTGGTTTTTTATAAACGCTCCTGCTGCATAATGTAAATTTGTAAATTTTTTAAAATTAATTTAGTTTTTTTTTACTTTGGTACAATAATAATTTTTTATTCTTTTTTCCAAGTATTTCGAAGGCGTGTAGGGAAAATTCTGGTACATTTGAGATTCGTTTTTCTTCAGTTTATATGTCTTAAATGAAAATTTAATTGATTATTTTATCGGTTTTTGATCTCAAATGAACCGGGAGAACAAAACACGTTTTCGAAGCATATTAATCGACTTTTATGAAACTTTATTTCTTTTTTCCCTGATGAGTTCTGAATTGGAGTTTCAATAAAAAGGAGATTAATTTTTATATTTTTGTTATGTTGCATATTTATTCCCTTCTGCGCTTTTATTTTGCAAGTTTGTACTACTATGAATTCTATTTTGATTTGATTAGATATTGTGTTGACATGGTTGCAAGTATTAATATTTTTGAAGAATTGCCTTACTTTGACTCCAATTTACTTTTAACTTTAAATGCGTTAAATTTATTGTACTTCAATCTTTCAGCTATGGCGCAGAACGGGCTTAAAAATTGTGTTTTTTAGGAAAATCTTGTTTTTAACTTTTAGCCTCATATTAGGTTTTTTTATGTATATATATATATATATATTGGCCTGACGAGAATTTAATCTTTGAAAAATTATGTCAGAATGTAAAGAATTTTGGAAATCTTTTTACAGTAGAAAGATGTTTCTTACTATAATAATTTCAGAAGGGCTAATAAGTAAGCTGACTGGAATTATAGCTCAGATGAAATGCACTGAAAATTTATCAAAGCAGTAATCTGCTTTTTTTTCTACTGTGTTTAACGAATTGAATCGAATTACATATTTCATAACTGCATATAACTATAGATGGTTTAGGAATCGCAAATTTAGTAAAATTTTTTAACTCACCCGAGTGTTCCTTTCTATACGAACATATATACATCAACGTGTGGAATGTAGCGAGGCGATGATAACTGATTGTGAACTTATAATTTGACGATATTGTTCCGTTGAGACAAATAACGTAAAAATTCCTCACTTATTACTGTATCGGGAAATTTCCAAAAAAATTTCCCAAGTACTAAATCCATATTTGTTGTGAGATTAAATCAGAGATGTAATTTTTAGAATTATATTTTTTCAAGAAATGTGACACTATCATTCAAAACTTGATTTTTGAAAGAAGGATCTATAAGATGCAAAGTTGAAGTTATAGCATTTTAAAAACGTACCTTTGATAGAGTTCTTTTTATTTTTGTTTACTCATTTTCTCCGAATTAGAAGCAGTGATGTAAATAATATACCCCAACGTTCCTTTCTGTAAAGTAGGTCTAATATATTTCATAAGCTTAGAAAATACAATAAACAACTGAGCTAATAATTTGACATTTTTGCTAATAATAAGCATAATCTACGAAAGTAATTGAATTGATATAAGGAATATGTTTAATCCAGAATAAACAACTATACATTCTTAATGAATTTTCGTGCTTAAACTGGACTTACCTGCGTTCAACACCTCATAGTTAATTGCAAGGTTTTTAATGAAAGGGCCTACGTTATTCACAAAACAAGTACTGTTTACTGGATAAGAGAATTTTCAGCGGCGAGATTGCTGAAGCTTTCCTTGTTCTTCTACTGCTCACAGTATGGAATTTGTTTGTTGTGGGTAGAAATGAAAGAAACAGATTCGGAATCAAGATTAGATTTTTATTCTTAAATTACTAACCATGCAAATTCGCGTTCCTTACAAACCATGATCAAGTTGATCAAAATCTTTTATTGATAAGCAGCTTATTTAGTAGACAGATAAAACATATTATATATCACAGCAAACGCCAATTTACAAGTTCCTTGAGCGTCAAATCCGCAATCAAAACTAAGACGATTCATAAAACAGTCCTTTTTTTGGTCGTGGTAAATGGGATTATTCCATCGCAGACACAGGATTAAAAGTCCAGAAAAATAGTCGCATAATCGTCACGCGAAATTGCCAGATCCTAATGCACAAATTTAACTCCGGATGAGGGTCTGCAGCACTGAACCATCTAAGCCCGAAATCAGAATGAAAATGGTGTGTGTGTGTGTGTGTATTTAATTATGGCAAAGCACACGAGGGCTATCTGCCTAAGGGGAGGGATGCCTTTCGTGGAGGACTTTCTAAGGGAAACTGGCTCGTATACACGTTACACATGGGAAAAACCACGAAAACGCCCATGCAGCCAGCCCGTTCGCGGGATTCGAACCTCGGACCGAACTACCAGTGTTCAGCGACTTTACCGCTCGGCAGCTGGTGGGCTCAGAATGAAAATGCTCGATTGAACATAGTCTCTTCTTAAGTAACATTAGACAGGATCATTCCATCACACACCAAGTTAAATAGACCGAAAAGGTGGTCGGATATTGTTCTTTTAATCCAGTTAGAAATTTTTACCAAAACGCTGGAGTTGGTCAGCTATTACTTAAAATTTTAACTCCATTACCTAACATCGAACGTCTGTTGCTCCGGGATAACTCAAGCTCATATTGTTTCATTCAAAGCGGAAAAATAAATTAGTCAGTCAACCTCTATTCTATCTTCTCTCCTTTTACGTCTTTCCTTTCATTGCACCTTCACTTATCTGTCTTTCCTTTCTGTCTGCGTTCCTTTTCATCTCAAAAAGAAGCCACGCAAACCAGAAAATCCACATCAAACTTCTCGTATTTCACATATTTCTTCATCCTTCATTTCATGTTATTTTTGGAAAGTTTCAATTTTTTTCTCATATTAAGTAAAGTAAGATCGTCAGTCCGAATCTCACACTAATCACCTCTTAATCACGTTTTCCTTTCTGTTTTCTGATTCTCCTCCTTTTCAGTAAAATTTCTCACTGTTTAAAGATTTTTTAATTATTAATCAAAGTTGACACTTAATGCAACCGCGTCTCATATCATCTCATACATTGATAGAGATATACAGGTAATCTGTCTATTACTCTCCTGACAAGTCCAAGGACAATTCTTATTGTAGCTGAAATCGAACAACACAAAGAGAGATATTTTTCAAAGCCACTGCCCTCATATCTTAGCACGAAAATAATTGTTTTCTATTTTTTCCTTTTCCTTAATTTCAGATTCGATAGTTATTTTCCCAGTACCGGGGAAATTTCTATAAATAAGTATTCTTTTACAAAGCATGGTGGACTCATTTACATCTAATCTTCAAAGAGTTCTAAAACAATTTACTAATTAGGACCCTTAAAAGTACTCAGTATCGTATTTTTAAAGCTTAAAGTGGAACGTGGTACTCTGTTTTTTTCTCAAGGTTCCCTTGCCCTAAAGCTTTTGCTTAAGTCTGTTTTTTTGTTACTTATCTTCTAACGGACAAACATATTTTCCCATCCTTCCTTTCAAACGAGTCGAAAATAGAACAATTATGATATACGAATTATTTAATCTTCTTTAAACTCCAGACTGCTATATCATACTATTACAGTAAATCTTCAGTTTTCTCCTAATCTCTTAAATTTTTTCTTTTGTTTTCTTTTCTCCTCCTTTTTTAAATTTTCAAACTGTTTAAGACCGCGTTATATCATACATAATTTAAATCTCATATATCTGTCATTGATAGAGACCGCTCCTATCTCCAAGGACAATTCTTAAGGGATAATTCACATTGTAGCTATTTTTCAAAGCAGCCCCTATCTTATCTTGCACGAACATGTTCTTGTTTTCTATTTTTTTTTCCGAATTTTCCAGTATAAATTTCTATAAAAAAGTTTCTTAAAAAACATCTTTTAAAACATCTAACTCAAAGAGTTCTAAAACACTAAAACAATTTTAAGTACTAAAGTACTTTTAAAGCTTTATGGAAGGTTAAGTGGAACGTTCTCTGTTTTTTTCTCCAGCTTTTGCTTAAGCTGCTTTGTTTTTTTATTTTTCTGCATATTTTCCCATTTTTTCCTTCCTGTCAAGAGTGATATAATTATTTATTTTCTTTCTTTAACCTCCAGATATACACTGTTTAATTTTTAATTTTTTGTATACCACAGTCAGGTTTGGTATGCATGAAATGATATATTCATCTGTAAAAATTTAAAGCATGAGGAAGATTTCCGATCAGAATCATAGGCACTGATTAAGAGTTTTCAAACATGTTGAAAAGGTTTAAGTATAAATATCTGGAATTGTTTTCACTAATCACACTTTTGAAACTCTTTGATTAAATAATACAAATGCTGCATAATTTTGACCTGCCTAAGTCTACATATTTTAGACACACTGAAAGATGCGGTTAGTTTCCCATTGTCTCTTACATAGACAGAATTTTACCGCCTTTTCCTTTTAAAATCCTGGGATATGTGAATGAGGTTCCTCCATTCCAGATTCATAGTGAGTGAAACAACTATGAACGCAGTTTCCAGACGTGTTATCCTATTTATTTTCAAAATCTATCTGTTCCGTTTATGAGACTTTATCGAGGATTTGTTTTATTTCTTCTTTAATCGCAATTCCCTTGGACTTTCATACTCTTTTAAAATCTCAGTAATCAAAATTTTTAGTTTAGTATCATTTTATGTAATTTTAGATGCTTGCCTCTCTAATTCTGAAAGGAAATCCAGACTACATAAAAAATGTCAGACATGTTCTGGCTTGTGTTGTTTAGTATTAATTAATTAGCATTAATATTTCAAAGGTATTTATATTAAAGCTTTATTTTATCAGATGCATTTCCTTTAGATTAATATATTTAGATGAAATAAAGTAATGAAAAATTACAAAATGTCTCTTTCATTTCAGGTTGTTGAAAAGGCACATTTAAGTAACGCTGACAGTCTATGAAAAAAGATTAGAAATGGCATGTAAAACCGGTAATATCACAAAGTTTCATTGACAAGCGTCTCTGCTATGACATATGTTACTTGGGAGGCAACTGAAACAGTACTATACTTATCAATGCAGCTCTGTTTTGAATATTTTACGAAATATTATAATTCTGCCAAATTTTTTCAGAAAGTTCGCCATTAGCAATAGAAAATTTACATACTTATTTTACGCTTTTGGTTTATCTACATAGTAACTTGTTTTTTAACTATTATATATTTCAAGATTTGTAGATTCATATACCCTTTATTTTCGAAAAAAAATCAGGTCAAGTTTGGACGACCTTCCTTATGAGTTCTTAAATACGAACCGAAGTAACTCTTAGTAAAAACATTCGCAGGAGTTCTCAGTAAAATAGAACAGCAGTAGAAAAGGCAGGAGGAAAATACATTGGGTAGATTTTAGTTCACATTCGCAAACAACTGAAATGAAATACGAAAAAAAAAATAGCCAATCAAACAGTACATTTGAAAGTAAAAACGTTTATTTAGCCTGGCTCAGTCTTCAGTTCTTCTTAACTATGCTGGTTTTCATTAAGTATAACACGAATACGAGCCACTTTCCTCTTAGAAAGCTCTCCATGAAGGTATTCGAACTGTTAGGCAGGTAGCCTAATGTGCTTTGAAACATTCTAATAACCCTGTTCCTAATTCTTTACTATACTAGAAAAACTGTCTTTCGGCGGATAGCGAGCGAGAGCCAATGTACTAAACTGGGGGTAACTGTAGAAAATATCGTGCCATGAAAATGTAAAAATAGTATTTTGCTATTTAATGTTTTATTTTTCCTTATTATTTTTCCGAAGACGCAGGGAAAAATACAGAGCTTTTCGTGAAAAATATTCATTACAAATTGCAATTAAAATGTTTGGGAAAAAAAAAGCATAGAAAATGCGATAACACACCTTTGAATTGTTTTTAGCTCTCCGAAAAGGAACATATTTGCACTTATCAGTAAAATATTATGTGCAGTGTCAATACCTTTTAGAACAACGAACTAAAAGAAGTTGTAACAAATCTCCTCATTGTTTACAGTCCTTACGCTGTATTTACAAAATATGTTTTCAATGCCGTATCAAATCAAGGATGTAATGAAGATTCTAGATTTTATCCTCCAATAAAAGTATAATCAGAAACTTCAGATTGTTGTTTGCTTTTAACTAAAATATTTCTCAATAGTTTTTAGAAAGATTTGCTACTGAAGTTGTTTACATTAAGCTCCACACGTCCTTGACTTGCTTCATGTCTGCCTTATTTTCCCTAAGTATTTAATGGCAATATACGATGAATAATTGTTCTGGGGTATATTAAATAAATCTACATGCCTAGTATTAAATTCTTAGGTATATTTATATATATCTTTAACACAACACGCAGATTTTGCGTAATTTTATTAGTTACTGTCATGCGTTTACTGCACACTATCATGCGTTTAGTAAAACACCAATCATCATTTTCTCTTTAATGGCCGTGTTAAAGTGAAACTTACATTATAAATAGATATATGCCTTAGGAACGAACAAGTAGGTTTTCTACTTAGATTTCCAAGGTTCGATGGCCAGCAGCCAGTTGGTGATTTGGAGCCAGTCATCCTCCGATCATTGAGTACTCTGTGGAGCAACGGCGACATAGCGCAATGCTGATCTGCTGCATCTTAGCTGAATTTTAATGAAAGAGAAGTTGGCGTATTTCCTTGAACACCTTGGCCCACCATCAGTGCTGTTATGAAATTTTTTTATACATCTTTGAGTTTATAGTGTTTAAAATTAATAACACCCTACCATTAATTATGAACAAATATAAAATATATCAATTAGCATATTAGCATGAAAAGAAAGCACGAGTGCTACTTTAATGGATAAAATAGTTAGTGATGATGGTTGCCATATCGTTGGGCAGTGATATCTACCCTATGTTACAGAATTTACAGTAGAAAATTTACATACTTATTTTACGTTTTTGATTTATCTACAGAGTATTAGTGACTTGTTTTTTAACTATTATGTATTTCAAGATGGGTAGATTCACACATGCCTTATTTTGAAAAAAAAAATCAGTTCAAGTTTGGGCGACCTTCCTTATGAGTTCTTAAATACGAACCGTAGTAACTCATAGTAAAAATACTCGAAGGAGTTCTCAGTAAAACAGAATAGCAGTAGAAAAGGCAGCAGAAAAATACATTGGATAGATTTTAGTTCACATTCGCAAACAACTGAAATGAAATGAGGAAAAAATAGCCAATCAAATAGTACATTTGAAAGTAAAACCTTTTATTTAGCCTGGCTCAGTCTTCAATTCTTCTTAACTATGCTGGTTTTCATTATGTATAACACGAATACGAGCCTCTTTCCTCTTAGAAAGCTCTCCATGAAGGTATCCGGACTGTTAGGCAGGTAGCCTAATGTGCTTTGAAACTTTCTAATAACCCTGTTCCTAATTCTCTGTTATGCTAGAAAAACTGTCTTTCGGCCGATAGCGAGCGAGAGCCAATGTACAAAACTGAGGTTAACTGGGGAAAATATCGTGCCATGGAAATGTAAAAAATAGTATTTTGCTATTTAATGTTTTATTTTTTCGAAGACACAGAAAAAATACAGAGCTTTTTGTGAAAAATATTCATTACAAATTGCAATTAAAACGTTTGGGAAAAAAGCAACTAAAAGAGAATGAAATTGCTTTCTTGAAGCTAAATTTAAAGTGTTCTAGATCTGAAAAAGGGAAGAAGTATGTATGGCTGGAAGGAGTACTTTTTATGAAGATTTTGACCTTGTATTCTTTCTTAAGAATACAAGATCAAAATCTTCATAAAGTTGAAATAAGAGTCTTATTGGCCACTAAATTGTTAATACATGGATACTGAAAGGTTAACAATAACAATAATAACGAGAATGATAATAATAATAATAACCATAAAAGAACAGGAAAGAAAACCCGAATGGATTCAGATTTCAAGGGTTCACTAGAGCGTTTGTTAAGTTCATCATCTCGTTGAGCTCGCAGTTTACCAGTCTGCTCTTCGACTCCCACTTGCTAACATAATTTCTTTTTAACACAACTGTTTTTCAAGTTTTCTTTTAAAATTCACGTTTTTCATACTTATGCCACATAAGATTCAACAGCAAAATAACAATTTTTAAAAGCAGCATAAGTTTAGAATTTCAAGTCTTGCCATTAATTCTTTTTTCACTCTTTTCTCAGTTCATTACATCATTCTTCAGTTTTTTGGTAAGGTGATTTCTACAGCTTTTTATGTCTTTTTATTATTAAAGTTTTTATATTTACTTTATTTAATAAACATGAGTTTTTTTCGCGTTCACGCCACATAATATTCAAAAGCAATATCACAAAATCTTTAAAAACAGCATTTCATTAGAATTCCCAATAAAGTGTTTAGTATTACGATATATGTTTCTATATTCGCTACACAATTTTTTAAAAAGTAATACATGATGATAAAAATTGGTGATATCATCCTTTTATTTGAAAACTGATACGGACATAAACATGAGGATCAAAATAAATAGCCACGCTGGTGCTGATAAATATATTGGGATATACTTGTATTGCATTTAGCACTAAATCGTATTCACTGTAGCTTTTGAAAAGCAACATGACTGTAGGTTTGGTAAAGAGATACTATGCTAAACAAAATATATTGCATGGTAAGCAAAAAATTACTCGAAAAAATTTAATTCCGATTGTCAGAGCTCCAGATATCCGAGCGCTGCAGTTTCAAGACCAAAGCGGAATCAAGGAAATAGAAACGATTTTTATGGCAAATCAACCAGGCAATTAAATAATAAAAGCTTCTTTAATGTTCAAATCCGATGCTTTTGCTAGAACACCCTATATAATATTTTATATCGCTAGGGAAATATACCCTATACTTAAAATGCAACTGCGATTAAAGCATTCAATTTTGTGAAAATATACACTATATATATTATTATACATATTAATTGAAAAAGAAAATGTAAAGCGAACTGGTAATTAGACGAAAGACCTATCTGGTCTCAAAACGCTTTGCGCATAATGCTGCAAAAAGATTTGAAAGAATAGTAGTAGGTAGGAACATTGCAGCAACCTTGCTCAAAAGTTACCAGGAGCTGTAGCTCCACGAAATGTTGTAACATAGTACTGCATAAACAATAAGAAATTTGCTTGGTAAAACTGTAAAAACGGTATAAGCGCGATAAAACTGCCAAATTTTAGTGCTGGAAGACTTGCTATTGCTCGAAAAAAAAAAATTACTTAATCTGACCGTTGTGTAATGTGAAAAGGTAACTCACATGAAAAAAAGGATGGACGGAAAAAATAAATACAAAGTTACAAAGTACAGGAAGTTACAAAAACATGGATTATAAATGTCAATATATAAAAAGCCTTATACATAAAAAATTAAAATTAAAATTGCCAGTATATAATATGCCAATACATAAAAATTAAAATCAAAATTAATAAAGACACAAAAAGCATCAAAAAAATTAAAATCAGAATTAAAAAATATAATAAAGACACAAAAAGCATCAAAAACTAGCTACCAAAACAATAAATAAATAGCGGAAAAATGGTATATTAGCCCACTCGTACTCTCAGTTGGCTTTTCAAGGGAAAAAAACTGTTCTACGAAATAGGCTAAATACTATTACGCGTTTCGCCGAAACGCGTAATGGTATTAATTGGCATTAATTGGTATTAATTGGTTAATGGTAACATAACGAAACGCGTAATGTTATTATACATATATTTCTTTATTACACGCTTATGACAAATGAGCTATGTCTGTTAGTTTAGTTTTTTATTTTTACATCATTTTGTTTCATTCTTATTTTTGATAGCTGTGATGTATGAAAGAGAAGAATGCAGACTTTAAACATATTTTAAATCTAAATCAGACAAAATTCAGTCCTAAATTAATGTTTCTTTTACTGGAAGCTTACATGTCTCTCAAAGGCGGCTAATACGAGTCTCTCATTATCAAAGAAAATGCTGCAAAAACGTTTTATGCTGCAAAATGATTTTATTTCTTCAAGAAGATATAGACCGCGAAATATTTGTCCAATTTCATGTGCAGTATTTCACCAATTTCTGTAAACCTCGACTTGATGTTAAACTATAGCAGATTTTAACTGAATTTTTACCGTTTACTTTACCAAAACAATTCTCGAAAAAACTTCCTTAACTTTATCAAAAATAAATTCTAAAAATATTATTTATACTTGTTGGCTGAAATGTACTCATTTAAGAAAAAAAAGTACTGATACGTTGCCAGCTATTAATGGGTTAAAAGAAGCTTGATTGTGAGCAGATGATAGATGAATTAATATTATATAATTCATTTATAAATATGAAAAGTTTAAATCTAGAAAATGAAATCGTCTTACAGCAAACTTTAATAAGATTTCATTTTTTAGTTAATCAGTAATAATTAGAGAGACTGAAGAGCTGTATGTCTTTTTCATTAATGAGAGAAAAAGGTTCTTCGTTTCGTTGTAAAGCATAGTTATTTAGTATTATGGGTTTTGGGGAATTTAAGTAATAACCAATTATGTAACCATATATGTTTTATTCCTTTATTTTTCATTGTCCGAAAACAAACTACTAATTAAACTTCTGTTTCAATAAAAGTGAGTGAAAAATTCATAAAACATTGGGCCTCGTGTTTGAGCCTTTAAAGTGTGTAATAAATAATCAAACAGTCAACTCAATTCTATAAACAAATGCCATTGTTTCTGAAAATGTCATTAACTTTCGCAATCTATTGGGTGACTATTATGTAATTGTGCAAAATTAAATGTGGTTGCACCAAAATCTTTACTGCAGTCATTATTTTAATATGGATATAATTATATGGTTTCCTAGCCTGTTGTTTTAATCAACGTATTCAGCTTTTAAGATGTAAAATTGTAATGAAGAGGATGCATATTTTATCCAGTTTTCATATATTAAGAAAAGCAACCAAGCATAATAAAGCTTTTCCACAAATAAAAGATTTATTCTTCATTTTTGTGGTAGGATAAAAGAGACGAGCTTCTATTTAGTATATGCTAAGAAAGTGTTCAAACAAACAGCGGGAAAATTTATTTTTCTAACGAACACTTGAAAGAATAAAGTACTTCAGACATTTATTCAGATTATTTG